TTACTGGTGATTGTGTGTTGTATCCTTACTGGTATTGTGTGTTTTATCCTTACTGGTGATTGTGTGTTGTATCCTAACTGGTGATTGTGTGTTGTATCCTAACTGGTATTGTGTGTTATATCGTAACTGGTGATTGTATATTGTATCCTTACTGGTATTGTGTGTTATATCCTAACTGGTGATTGTGTGTTGTATCCTTTCTGGTGATTGTGTGTTGTATCCTTACTGGTGATAGTGTGTTGTATCCTTACTGGTGATAGTGTGTTGTATCATTACTGGTATTGTCTGTTGTATCCTTACTGGTATTGTCTGTTGTATCCTTACTGGTATTGTTCGTTGTATCCTTACTGGTATTGTTCGTTGTATCCCTACTGGTAATTGTGTGCTGTATCCTTACTGTTGTATCCTTATTGGTAATTGTGTGTTTTTTCCTTACTGGTGATTGTGTGTTGTATCCTAACTGGTGATTGTGTGTTGTATCCTAACTGGTATTGTGTGTTATATCCTAACTGGTGATTGTATATTGTATCCTTATTGGTATTGTGTGTTATATCCTAACTGGTGATTGTGTGTTGTATCCATTCTGGTGATTGTATGTTGTATCCTTACTGGTGATTGTGTGGTTTATCATTACTGGTGATTGTGTGTTATATCCTTACTGGTGATTGTGTGTTCTTTGCTTACTGGTGATTGTGTGTTGTATCCTTACTGGTGATTTTGTGTTGTATCCTTACTGGTGATTATGTGTTATATCCTTACTGGTAATTGTGTGTTGTATCCTTACTGGTAATTGTGTGTTGTATCCTTACTGGTATATTGTGTTGTATCCTTACTGGTATTGTGTGTTGTATCCTTACTGGTGATTGTGTGTTGTATCCTTACTGGTGATTTTGTGTTATATCCTTACTGGTAATTGTGTTGTTTTTTCCTTACTGGTGATTGTGTGTTGTATTCTTACTGGTGATTTTGTGTTGTATCCTTACTGGTGATTATGTGTTATATCCTTACTGGTAATTGTGTGTTGTATCCTTACTGGTATTGTGTGTTGTATCCTTACTGCTGATTGTGTGTTGTATCCTTGCTGGTGTTTGTGTGTTGTATCTTTACTGGTATTGTGTGCTGTATCCTTATTGGTGATTTTGTGTTATATCCTTACTGGTGATTGTGTGTTGTATTTTTATTGGTGATTGTGTGTTTATTCCTTCCTGGTGATTGTGTTTTGTACCCTTATAGTAATTGCGTTTTGTTCCCTAACCGGTGATTGTGTTGTATCATTACTTTTATTGTGTGCTGTATCTTTATAGGTGATTGTGTATTGTATTCTTACTGGTGATTATGCGCTGTATCCTTACTGATGATTGTGTGCTGTATCCTCACTAGTATTGTGTGTTGTATCCTTACTGTGGATTGTGTGTTGTATCCTTACTGGTGATTGTGTGTTGTATCCTTACTGGTGATTGTGTGCTGTATCCTCACTAGTATTGTGTGTTGTATCCTTACTGTGATTGTGTGTCGTATCCTTACTGGTATTGTGTGTTTTATCCTTACTGGTATATTGTGTTGTATCCTTACTGGTGATTGTGTGTTGTATCCTTACTGGTATTGTGTGCTGTATCCTTACTGCTGATTGTGTGTTGTATCCTTACTGGTAATTGTGTGTTTTTTCCTTACTGGTGATTGTGTGTTGTATCCTTACTGGTAATTGTGTGTTTTTTCCTTACTGGTGATTGTGTGTTGTATCCTAACTGGTGATTGTTTGTTGTATCCTAACTGGTATTGTGTGTTATATCCTAACTGGTGATTGTGTGTTGTATCCATTCTGGTGATTGTGTGTTGTATCCTTACTGGTGATTGTGTGTTGTATCCTTACTGGTGATTGTGTGTTATATCCTTACTGGTATTGTGTGTTGTATCCTTACTGGTATTGTGTGTTGTATTCTTACTGGTGATTGTGTGTTGTATCCTAACTGGTATATTGTGTTGTATCCTTACTGGTGATTGTGTGTTGTATCCTTACTTTTATTGTGTGCTGTATCCTTATAGGTGATTGTGTATTGTATTCTTACTGGTGATTGTGCGCTGTATCCTTACTGATGATTGTATGCTGTATCCTCACTAGTATTGTGTGTTGTATCCTTACTGTGGATTGTGTGTTGTATCCTTAGTGGTGATTGTGTGTTGTATCCTTACTGGTATTGTGTGTTGTATCCTTTCTGGTGATTGTGTGTTGTATCCTTACTGGTATATTGTGTTGTATCCTTACTGGTGATTGAGTGTTGTATTCTTACTGGTATTGTGTGCTGTATCCTTACTGGTATTGTGTGTTGTATCCTTACTGGTATATTGTGTTGTATCCTTACTGGTGATTGAGTGTTGTATTCTTACTGGTGATTGTGTGTTGTATACTTACTGGTGATTGTGTGTTGTATCCTTACTGGTATTGTGTGTTTTACCCTTACTGGTGATTGTGTGTTGTATCCTAACTGGTGATTGTGTGTTGTATCCTAACTGGTATTGTGTGTTATATCGTAACTGGTGATTGTGTATTGTATCCTTACTGGTATTGTGTGTTATATCCTAACTGGTGATTGTGTGTTGTATCCTTTCTGGTGATTGTGTGTTGTATCCTTACTGGTGATAGTGTGTTGTATCCTTACTGGTGATAGTGTGTTGTATCCTTACTGGTATTGTCTGTTGTATCCTTACTGGTATTGTCTGTTGTATCCTTACTGGTATTGTTCGTTGTATCCTTACTGGTATTGTTCGTTGTATCCCTACTGGTAATTGTGTGCTGTATCCTTACTGGTGATTGTGTGTTGTATCCTTATTGGTAATTGTGTGTTTTTTCCTTACTGGTGATTGTGTGTTGTATCCTAACTGGTGATTGTGTGTTGTATCCTAACTGGTATTGTTTGTTATATCCTAACTGGTGATTGTATATTGTATCCTTATTGGTATTGTGTGTTATATCCTAACTGGTGATTGTGTGTTGTATCCATTCTGGTGATTGTGTGTTGTATCCTTACTGGTGATTGTGTGGTTTATCCTTACTGGTGATTGTGTGTTATATCCTTACTGGTGATTGTGTGTTGTATTTTTATTGGTGATTGTGTGTTTATTCCTTCCTGGTGATTGTGTTTTGTACCCTTATAGGAATTGCGTTTTGTTCCCTAACCGGTGATTGTGTTGTATCATTACTTTTATTGTGTGCTGTATCTTTATAGGTGATTGTGTATTGTATTCTTACTGGTGATTATGCGCTGTATCCTTACTGATGATTGTGTGCTGTATCCTCACTAGTATTGTGTGTTGTATCCTTACTGTGGATTGTGTGTTGTATCCTTACTGGTGATTGTGTGTTGTATTCTTACTGGTGATTGTGTGTTGTATCCTTACTGGTATATTGTGTTGTATCCTTACTGGTATAGTGTGTTGTATCCTTACTGGTGATTGTGTGTTGTATTCTTACTGGTGATTGTGTGTTGTATCCTTACTGGTATTGTGTGCTGTATCCTTACTGGTATAGTGTGCTGTATCCTTACTGGTGATTGTATGTTGTATCCTTACTGGTATTGTGTGCTGTATCCTAACTGGTGATTGTGTATTGTATCCTTACTGGTATTGTGTGTTATATCCTAACCGGTGATTGTGTGTTGTATCCATTCTGGTGATTGTGTGTTGTATCCTTACTGGTATTGTGTGTTGTATCTTTACTGGTATTGTGTCTTGTATTCTTACTGGTATATTGTGTTGTATTCTTACTGGTGATTGTGTGTTATATCCTTACTGGTATTGTGTGTTGTATCCTTACTGGTGATTGTGTGTTATATCCTAACTGGTGATTGTGTGTTGTATCGTTACTGTTGATTTTGTGTTGTATCCTTACTGGTAAATTGTGTTGTATCCTTACTGGTGTTTGTGTGTTGTATCCTTACTTGTGATTGTGTGTTGTGTCCTTCCTGTTATTGTGTGCTGTATTTTTACTGGTGATTGTCTGTTGTATCCTAACTGGTATTGTGTGTTATATCCTTACTGGTGATTGTGTGTTTTATCCTTACTCGTGATTGTGTGTTGTATCCTTACTGGTAATTGTGTGTTATATCCTTACTTGTATTGTGTGTTGTATCCTTACTGGTGATTGTGTGTTGTATCCTTACTGGTAATTGTGTGTTGTATCCTTACTGGTATTGTGTGTTGTATCCTTACTGGTAATTGTGTGCTGTATCCTTACTGGTGATTGTGTGTTGTATCCTTACTGGTGATAGTGTGATGTATCCTTAATTGTGATCGTGTGTTGTATTTTTATCGGGTATTGTGTGTTTATTCCTTACTTGTTTATGAAATAAAACTATTTTTCCATATAACGAACATTGTTAATTTTTTAAAGTCTCAATTTACCAATATATTACTCGTATATGGTGCATTTAGATTCAAAAATGTCAAGAACAAAAAGCATTTTCTTCTGGATTTTCAATTAAAATGTTGGTTTGAACGTTAACCTGAATAAGGAACGGTATCATACATGTAACTCTTGATTTTCTTGAAAGACGAAACGAGTAAATATATTCAATAAAATATAAGGAGATAACAAACAATGTACGAGCTCTAAAGTCCAATGCTCAGATACAAATTCAGAGCAGAGTATAAATGTAATGTACCATAGAACTATCTCAAAGTAACGATTAAGTAGAGTTCCGTCATTCAGATTGACAAATACGTTGAAGTTGAACATGTTAAAATTTAACATACCCTTTTTTGGTATTGTGAAGTTTTTAAGAATTTTTAATATGATTTCTGCTTTTTATGATTATTATGGTGCATATTTCCTCGGCAAATCTTTCGAATATACTTTATTTCAAATTGATAGATGAAACAAATAGCAAATTACACTATGTGGATATCCTTTTTATTGATAAAGTATTGTGAACTAAAAAAAAGTAAATAGTATTCATGAATTTAAATGCAATACATTGTATATATGTTTTTATTATTCTATCCAGGATCTTAAACAATAATCCTTTCCACTGCGATTGCGAGTTGATAGGCCTGGTCGATTTCCTAAAATCTGGACGTGTCCGCTCATCTGGAAATCCACGTTGCTCAACCCCTGAGAACTTGAAAGGAAGTCTGTTGGCCAGTCTATCAGCTGCAAACTTGACTTGTCCCGATATGACTACCGAAACAGAGAGCGACACAATAAAGACTACAGAGGCGTTCATAAGTACAACTGTGGAATCCAGTTCTTCACCTTTGAACGTAGGAAATTTTCTGGCTATGGTGCTTTTGTCTTTATGTTTGCTTGTTAAAATCATGATTGAGTAATTGAATTTAAAAAAAGCGAAATAAATAGAGATTTTGTTTACAAAAAAGATTGGGACAAATCGCTTACATGACGGAAACGTAGAACAGAGAATTTGGAAAACTAATTTTACACTGGACATATCAGTGAATTTCCCGAAAATACAGATATTTCTCGGGAAATACTGGAAAATAAGAGAGATTTAGAAATAACTTTAACTTCAAACCTTAGATCTGAAGAACATTATAGGATAAGATAACAACCTGTATAACCGTCTTGTATTTAAAAACTCTGATCAATCCTAGAATTAAAAAGCATAACATTATTTACTAACATTCCATAATTATTTTTTACGTTTATATCAGATTTATTCTATAAAGGTCCATAAATTAAACTTGAAGATCACATTTTGACTATTCTTATATAACTTGAGAAGGATTACAGAGAAGAATTAATTGTCGAACATCTTATAAATATCAAATCTAAGAAGAAGAAAATTTTCACGCCTATTCAGGGTAATTATCTTTATGAATAGATAAGAATGACTTATTGTAATAACAAGTGTTTATAGATGGATAAAACCAATTCATTATGTATTTGAATTTATAATAATGTAATGTATTAATCTTATATAACTGGTATAGGTTATGGTTAGGGTTAGTTACTTTTAATCAAAAAACACCAGTCTTTATCTTGAAATCGATCATTGAAACATATTCTGCTATAGAATGGAAAAGGTACCTGGAGTAATGATATATATTAAGCATGATAAATTGCGGTTTGAGACATATTCAGTTTTATTTATCTTTTGCACTTATATGTTTCATTTTACTTAAATCTGCTTGTATTAGTGTAATAGTTTTCTTTAAAAATCTACCAAGCTACTTGAATTTTATGAGGAAAAGCAAAATGATTAAAATCAATATCTGATTTTTAACCATTTTGCGTTTTGTTGTTAAATTAACCTGGCTTGTTATATTTCTGTAAAGTTTATATTACACTTTTAGCACTAACTAACATATTCTAAAATTTGTTTTCATCTGTAAACCTTTACTATGTATGATTTGTCCATATTTAGTAATTTTATTGATTAATCGACTGATATTTTCCAACCCTATTTTATTTTCCGAGACTAAGGAGAAAATATTGAAAGAATCATCCACTTTTATTAGCCTGTGAGATGATATTAAATCTTCCCCCAAAGAAAAAAACATGTTTGCATTCTCTGTCCTTAATATACTTAAAGTAACATGTATTAAAAGGTTTAAGAGTACTTTTTTATTTCAGAAACCATTTCAAGATTTTTTTTATTATCATATATAATTGTTTACTTGATATGCTTATGGTTTGATATATAGTTCTTAAGGATATAATAAGAAATATTGATATATGTTATACAGTTTTTTAAGGCACCTGAGTAAACTTAGTCGACCTATTGATATCCGTTTTCGTCCCTCGTCGTGTGGCGTGTGTCGTATGTTAATATTTCAATAGTTTAAGCTTTTATTATTGCAACCGCTCAACCAATTTCAACCATTTTTGGCATAAATCATCTAATGGTGAAAGGGAACAACACTGATTTTCATGGTTTCTGCTCCCCTGGGTCTGAGGAGTGGGGACAAAACAACTAAAATAATTGCAATTCTTAAAAATCTTTTTCTTCACTATTTGTCATCAAGCAGCCAAGTTTTGGTATGATTGTAACCGGAACTGTGTCCTCTTCCAAAATTTTAAAATTCAAGGCTCCTGGGTCAAGAGTTCTAGTGGTAGGGCGTGGCTAAATAAATTATATAGTGAAAATGCAATACTTCTTTGGCATTATATGTACTTTTCAAGTAATTAATTATGTTGAATTAGGCTGCATTTTCCAAATTTGTGAATTTCGTGGCCCTTGGAACAGGATACCCGGTGATAGGATGGGGTTCTACTGGTTATTTCTTAAAAATGTATCAATTCTTTTTTTAAAAATTTTGCTCTTGGGTATTAAACAGGTTGGGGGGAATCGTAAATTCCGCTATAATAGTGGTATCTCACTATTATAGTGAAATTACGCTATATTTCCTGCCTTGGATACCCTCAGTTTCATCCGATAACATGCAAGGCGTTTAAACCGCAAGTCATGGTGGGTATTAAAATGAACAAAAACTGTCATGCTTTTATGTTTTGAATTTTAATAAATTTTCTACCGTTGTGTTTAATAATGCGAGCACTCTTTTTTTTAACTGAAGTTGCATTTTTAACATAGCAACCGATGATTGCGGGGATATTTAAGTCTGTTTGAATCTCACTTATTGCTCATAAATGTGCACAAATTAATGCTTGTTGCAATTGTCAACTCGCACTGGAAAGGGTTTATGGAGTTAAGGAAGAAAAAGATTATTTTTGTCTGCATGGTTACGGGTATGGAGGGCCGTTATGGTAAACGGAAAGATACATTATGGCAAACATAAAAAAAGAGTATATTGATCAACTCGATTTCTAACCTTTTAACAAAATCAATTTAATATTATAAATAATAAAAAAAATACTTATTTAAACGATCCTAGAAAATCTATCTAATTTTTAATTTCCGCTGGTTAATTGTTTATTTCAGAAAAAAATAGTCAATTTATATCGGGAATATTTTACAAGTCTTAGAGTGCCTGTAACCTTATTTTAACACATGTTCAAATAATTATGATTTAACAATCTTTTTAACTCCTCACAAATGTATCTTATTTAACACTTTATGGTTATGCACTTAGGCAAGAATGATTTAACTTTAAAATCTGACAGAAATAGCCACAGTTTTTTTTCTTGTTATTTGAAAAATATTTATATATAGCAAAGTATATAGCAAAAAATCACACTAAAAGTATTAATTTTTCAGACTTTTAGATTTATGCCATTGTTTTATTGTTTAAACCACAAGGAAACTTCAAATAACCAACCACCACTGCTCAATATTCAGCATTAGAAGTGCCTAAAACATCCTTGACTCAGTTAATATTTTCTACAATTAAAAATTGATGTAAACCATCAAATCAGCCGCAAGCAATTTAGCATTTGAAAAAGTACTTTCACAATTTTGAAAGCATATCCATGCAGTGGTAGTACAAGATATTCAAAGCTGAACTAGAATCTTGAGAAGCGTATACTAAAAACGTAAATAATTACATTTAGCTGTGTATTCTACTGTATTTAGCAATTTTGGTAGGAAATAGAGTCCGCTAATTCAAGTACATTGCTAAATATCTTATATATTAACTTTTATAACTAGCAACTTTAGACAGCGCTAAATCAAACCAACTTTAACTTGTTGAAAATTGAATTTCCGCCAAATATTGTACATGCCAAATGTAATACATTCATTATTTTCATTTTCAATCAATTCTTTTATCATTGACTTCATAGGTGTCAGAACCGGGGGAGGGGAGCTGGGGGGGCTTAGACCCCCCTTTTTGCAAAGATAGACATTTTCTATATATTGAAAATTGGGGTTTACCTTTTCTGTTGGTTAACCCCCCCCTTTCAATTTGATTTTGACTCCTATGGACTTTATTTCATCGATGAGCAAATGCACTAAAATATCTATGTATGTACTTATTTTAAAAAATATTTATTTATAATGCTTTGAAAACAGTCTGAAATAAAAATGACCGAACCACGTGCATCCTGCATCTTGATCATGTGATAATCCCTATGGTTTTGCAGAATAGGTTATGCTGCAAGGCGCTGGGCAAACTTTGGAAACGAAATATTCCTTGTATCAGTCGCATCAGTCGCAGCTGTAACATATTCAAAACAATTTTTACGAGTTGAACAGTTTTTGATCTTTTATTAACCATGCACTTTATGTACCACGTCATGATGATGCGACCGGAAAATCATAATTTCCCTTTATATCTATACATAGAGTACTTTTGTAAACTCTTTTTATATCGTCAAAAATTATCAAATATCTTGATGATAAATGACAATGAAATTGAAACATTACAACAATAACATTTTAAATTTGTTTCTAAATTTAAGCATTTATAAAAATATTTTTCTTATGATTTTCTACATGTTATCAATGAATTATTATACTGAAATATTACAAAAATAACTTTTCTCAATCCCATGTTCACTATCTAACACAACCATGCACAAAAAGATCGGCCGCAGTAGCGTCGGATAATAATGGGTGTTTCCGTTTACCATAACGAGCCTCCATACCCGTTACCATGCAGACAGAAATAATCTTTTTCTTCTTTAACTCCATAAACCCTTTCCAGTGCGAGTTGACATTTGCAACAAGCATTAATTTGTGCACATTTGTGAGCAATTAGTGAGATTCAAACAGGTTTAAATACCCCCGCAATCATCGGTTGCTATGTTAAAAATGCAACTTCCGTTAAAAAAAGAGTGCTCGCATTATTAAACGCAACGGTAGAAAATTTATTAAAATTCAAAACATGAAAGCATGACAGATTTTGTTCATTTTAATACCCACCATGACTTGCGGTTCAAACGCCTTGCATGTTATCGGATGAAACTGAGGATTTCCAAGGCAGGAAATATAGCGTAATTTCACTATAATAGTGAAATACCACTATTATAGCGGAATTTACGTTTCCCCCCAACCTGTTAAAGAAACAAACTAAGTTCAAAGTAATATAATGATGACCAATAATGCCTCTTTTAAGATTGTAAATTTTATGGATCCTGGGTTAAGGAATTTGGAGTTTTGGCGGGTCTCTATGGATTATATAGCAAAAATACATCAAATACATCTTGATCACTCGTCAAATCGCGAATTATTATATTTGCGATTTGACGTTGAATAGATCGCCCGCGAAAAAATAAGGAATATACAGTAGTTATATTGTATCAGGCTGTCCTTTTCTAAAATTATTAATTCTATGGCCCTGGTTCGGTTTTACTGTTAGGGTGGGGCTCTATTGCCTGTATTGTAAAAAAAACCCATATATTCTTTAAAAATCTTCTCCTCTGCTATTAGTTATTAAACCATGATTTATGCACATCGTTTTGATGAGGAAGGATGTCTCTTTCAAATTTTGAATATCAGGTTCAGAGGCTCTGGTTTTAGGGCGGGGTTCTTCTGATTATAAAGTAAAAATGCATGAATTCTTTCGAAATCTTGTCGTTTGCTCTTGGGTATCATTCCAATAATCTGTATACATATTTATAATGAAGAAAAGTGCTTTTTCCAAAATGTTTAACTTCAGGGCCCGTTTAGTCAAGTGGTGGGGGCTAAATTGTCTGAAATTGAATTAATGCTTTGAAATTTGCTCTTTGGTATTAATCAACCATTTATGATCAAACAAAATTTATAATAAAACTTTCAAATTTTGGAAATATGTTGCCCAAGGGTCAGTGGTGCATAACTACACTACTGGCTTTTAAATCCCCTGTCCGTATGAAAATCCACTGACTTTCTCTGTATCCTACAGCATTTTCACAGTAATCTATGGTATATCTTCAGTATGCTACGGTATGCTACCTCTGTATGTACAGTAAATCTCTGTATGCCACAGTATGTATCCCCAGCATGCCACAGTTACATACAGTAGGCCCCGATACGCCTACAGTATGCCACTGTATGGCTACTGTTTCCTACAGACAACTACGGTAAACCCCAGTATATGTCCCAGTAC